CCCCAAAACCCCAAAACCCCAAAACCCCAAAACCCCAAATAAAGCATATTGTGCTGAAAGTAGAGATTACTGATAAATTCTGTGGCTGATTCCTATGATTGTACTAGAAAATTGAGTAAAAGGAAACTTACCTGATATCTGAAGTTGATAAAGCTACTCCTTTGAATTTCTTTAGGTTCTTGCTATCACTCTTTAGTCCAGCATTATATGCAGCTTTGTGAGTCTCTGCTGATTTTTTGGTAATCTTAGTTAATGTATCTGGATTTTTGATTCCTAAATTTGAGCAAACACACTTTACCTTGTCCTAAAAGGCCGAGATATATCTGAGATTTGCACTTTTTGATAGAGTCTGGGTTAGTGCAGAATCTGTAGTTTCTCATCAAGAAGTATTCTTTCTCTGGAGCATCTCTCTTGAGTGTAAGTCCTACTCTTGGGGATTTGTAGATCTCTCTTGGAGTCCATACGCCTGATTTCTTTCCGGAAAACTGAACCAAGGTTATTGCGTTTGCTTCTTCATTTTCTTTAAATGTATCGATATCAGAGTAATCAATAGTTCTCAAGATGTCCGACTTAGAAAAGTTTTTGTTCAATTCAAGGAAATCCTTGACTTCATTTGCTTCTGAAAGAGTAAATATCTCTTTGACCAAATTACAACTTCCTTCATGAAAAGTTAGAGTATCCACATCTTGAAGAGTTCTTAACAGAATTCCTCCGTACATTTTCTCAGATTTTCTTCCAAATGAAATATCCAAGCCTTTATAAGACGCACACTTGTAGTTCTTTCCCATCTTGTGGAAGTACCAATGAAGTGTCTCCATTTGATCTTTGTCCTGATGCGTAAAGTTGTCATTATGATACTAAAACTGAGTTCAAAGCCTTACCTCCTCATGTTTTAAGTAAAACTCTATCTCTATTATTCTGAAAACTCTGATATCCTTATCTTTCTTTACCACAATCCCGCATCCATTAAGTATCTTCTCGGCTATACTGTAGAAAATAGGCTCGAAATCAGCTGGCTCCATTCCTTTTGTCAGCTTAAAGTTGACCAAGGTCTTAAGATCTTGGCTAGAATCGATGGCAGGGTCTGAGTCTATGTCCTCTCTCTTCCTCTTACCTTCCTAAAAATCTCAATCTGAACAAGATTCGAATCTTACCTTGGAGATTGGAGCTTTTTTCTCTTCTTCATAGCTCTCTTTAGCTTTCTTTTTCTCGGCTTTTATCTTGTCAACATTAACCAAAGAGTTCAAGGTGGATTGCTTAAGTCTTCTCTTCCCGCTTTTCTCCATTTTTAATACTAATTAAAAGATATTTTGGGGTTTTGGGGTTTTGGGGTTTTGGGGTTTTGGGG